TTTTACTTTTTTTTATATTAAATAAAAATAATAATTTGCTAAGTTTTCATTATAGAAAAGAAAATTTTGGTTTTATTGTTCAATTGTTGAGTTATTTTGTAAGTAAATTTAGTAATTAATTATTGGAATTTGATTTTAAAGAAGTTGTGAAGATTTTTATTCATTTAACAAAAATGGCGCCAACATTGGCATTAACGGGAAATTTGGTTATCACCATTACACTGAAAAATAAACTGAGATTGGTTATATTCTACTTCAAAACCTCTTTTTGTATCATACTTCAATTTAAGTTTTTATTTCTTGTAGGTATTTATTTATTGCTCAAAAGAGTTTTTAACATTATCCAGAGTTGTTTGTTGCTTGATCTTAGTTAAATCACTCATATTGAGTAACAACTTTAAGGTAAATATTGCACATAATGAGTGTTTTTTATAATTTATTACTTTATTAATTATTAAAATTTTTCAATACTCAAAATTTTTCAAAACTTTATGGTTTTTTTTTTGTTTTTTTTTTAGATTCAGAGTTGATTTGAAATGGAAAAGAAAGGAAAGACTGTATTTTTGTGTATTTGGATTGATTTACTTATATTTATATTTATTATATAACCATATATATACTACTTAAAGATAAGTTATTAAGTATATCTATATTGTAAATGTATATAGGAATATGTAATATAATTATAATACTATTTACTTGTATATACTTTATCAAAATTGTTAATAATCTTTTAGAAAGTGTTTATTACTTTGCTAATTTTTTATTTATTTGTGTATTTGCTGTTGAAATGAAATGTAAATCACGGAAATTTTATTATTTTTATGTAAATCAAAGAAAATTTGTTTTCAGAAAATATTTTCAAAAACATGCCATTGATTTTATATATATAAGATTTGCTAGAAATAATTTAAATTTTACTTTTATTTACGGAAACTATCCGGCAGCTGAGTTGTTTAACGGGAAAAACATGTTTAATTTAAATGGAAGTATCTGTTTATTTACGGAAAAGTTCCGGCAGCTGCCGATGACCAAACTACCCGTTGTTTAACGGAAAAAACCCTTTGTATTTTAACGGAAAAAATCCGTTTGTTAACGGAAACTTCCGTTTACATACGATGGGTTTTTCCGTAAAATAACAGGTAGTTTGGTCATTGGCAGCTGCCGGAACTTTTCCGTAAAAAACGCGCTATTTTTTTAACAGTGTATGACCTGATTTTGATTCGTGGCTAAAGTTAAATTGTATAATCTTTAGAGGTTACCAAGGAACTGGTTTGGATGGTAACAATTCACTGAGACTTTTAGACAAATTAGATAACTTAAAAGTTGACCTTCTAAATACAGCCTCTACATTACCAAATATGATACTTTTCTAATTGTAGTTAGATGTCTTAGAAAGTTTTCAAGTATTAAAACAAAAGGTTGTAACATGTTTATTTGAGAATCTATTGTTAAATTAATTTCAGATTTTAAAAAAGCTTCCGAAAATCTGCAACTTCATCTTTTGGAAAAGTTTAACTACCAATTAAATATTAGCTGGAAAGTTCATAGTTTAGTATGTCATCTTGTTCCTTTTCTTCAGCATAGTCAGTTCGGGCTTGGTGTATATGCCGAGCAGGCAGGAGAAAGTGCTTAACACTATCACTATCAAGTATGGAAGCCATCAAGGGTCATTTGGAACACAATGATTATACAAAATAGCTTAAGAAAAGTGTAATTGAGTTTGGTATAAACAGCTTTAAGTAGTTCTTTTCTCTCTTTTTTTTAAATTTTTGATTGTTTTGAACTTTGAAATGATTGAATTATTTTATAAGGAATTTCAATATATGTTAAACTGTTATATTTATTGCATTGATGTTATATTGTTTACTCTGGAATTTATCTCAATTTTATCATAAAAAATCTTATTTTTTTCATTTCAAAGTTGTATTCTTTTAACAAAAATTGTTTTAAAGGTGTAAAACTTTATTAATTTTGAAAAAAATTCCCGCCCTCCCCATATTACAAAAACTATTTTTACAAAAAAATATGTTTAAAAATTAGTTTAGATCTTAAAAATTATTCTAAAATACTTACTTAAACCTAATATTAATAATTAAACAAAAAAAGTTGAAGTAAACCAAAATTTGCCCTGCTTCTTCTATTAAATACGATGGAGCGACTGAAACTTTAATTGATGTCATTTTGTCTAACTTCTTAAAATGCGCTCCATTTCGAAAAGGTGGCGGAAAAGAAAAAAATTTAGATTGATTGATATAAATTTATATTTATATAAAGCAATCTAAAATTTCTTTGTTGAAATATTTACATATATTTCAATATAGAAATATTTTCTTTTTGTCTGCTAATATTTTTTTTTTCAGTGTTAATTCAACATTACAAATTAAAACTCAATTATGAAAAAAAGCCTAGGATTGAGTTGACGTTTTAAGTAAGCCCAAAAAGTAACTGATGTAATATTTTTATTTTTTAATAAAAAAAAAATTATAATAATGTTTAAAATTGGTATTAATATTAATGTTTATTAGATGAAGATGAGTAAAAAATAAGTAATGTTTATTAGAGAAGATAAGTAAAAAATAAGTTACAAGTTATTTTTTGGTCTCTAAAATTGTTTGAATGATAATTTATTATTTATTAAAATATTTTCTTTTTTAATTTTTGTTATTATCTTATGTAGATGTTTATGTTTTAGCAACCTAGGATTCTTTCATTATTTTTCTTTGTTATTGAGTCTTAAGTTATTTGAACATAATATATTCAGAACTCTACTGAATAATAGAGTAATAAATAAACTAATAAAAATGAATTTAAAATATAATAAATTTATAAAATAAAGAAAATCTTATTTTTGCTAATAATGTCTACTAATATTATTGTTTAGTAAGTATCATGGTTATAAAATGTTCAAATTTAGTTAGTTTAATTAAGCCTGTTAGTACACTTATATTATGGTTTCTTCATTTTATTATTAGTTCATGTATTTTTTTTTTAATCGAATATGTGGAAAGGAGCTGTTTGGAATGAAGATTTACAGGAAGAAGTAATTCTATTTAATTGGATTAGTGATAAAACTGTTTGTCAGCTTCCAGGTACCAAAGAATTGACTGCACTAAAATGCAAAGAAGAATTAGCTTAAGTTTATACAAAAAAAATTAACTAAATTCTCTTCAGGTATTACATCTATATATTAAAATTTTTATTTTTTAAATAATGTGGTTAGAAGAGTTATTTTGTTGATACAAAATATATATAAGAAGAGTTATTAAAATATATATAAGAAGAGTTATTTTGTTGATACAAAATATATAGCTATTTGTATAACTATTTCAATTCCAAAAGAAAGCAAACAGTATTGTGAAAATTTTAAATTCACAACTACAAAAGAAAAATGTGATAATGAGAATGTTGACAAGTGAATGCAAGATTTGCACACAAGTGGAAACTTGGATGCAAATTTTCCACTTGTGTGGTTTGGATGGTTCTCCACAATATAATATATCTCCACAAGCATGATATTAGATTTACTTTAAGTTTTTTACAGATAAATCAATTACAGTTAATTGGTGGAACGTCTTCTAAAGATAGAATATACAAAATTATGCTGAGGTAATCAAAAACAGTATTGGACTCTTACCTCATTTATAATCAGGGTGTCCACAGCTCCTCTAAAATCCTCTTTTTTTAAAAACCACTTCTAAAATCTCTATTATCCTTTAATTAATTTTTGATGGAAGTATAATGTTTAAAATACCCATTCTTGGTCTGCAAAACTGGTTAACACCTTAAAGTGCATGGAATTGTAAAAAATTGCTTTAGCAAATGCATGCTATTTAACATAAAAAATGACATTATTTGATCCCTGTCCAAGCCCCAGAAGGGTATAAACATGGACGTTAAACCATTAATAAATGGCCACATAAAATTTCTTATAAAAATTTTATGTGGCTACCTCGAAAACTATTTTTCAATGCTAGAAATGTTTTATATTTTGATTATTAATTTATTTTGAAAAAAGGTTGTTTTATTTAAATTAAATATTTGAAAAAGTTATTAATTCCAACTAACAGTTATATTATTTTTTAAAAATTCAGAGTATTTTCGAAAAGTTATATGGCCTCCACGGATATGAAGGACATAGGTAGAAAATGTTATATATATATATGTTTTATATATATATATATATACATATATATATATATATATATATATATATATATATATATATATATATATATATATATATATATATATATATATATATATAATATATATATATATATATATATATATATATATATATATATATGTTTTATATTATATATATATATGTTTTATGAACACTAATATATATGCCGTTGAAAAAGATATACCTTCATAAGTTGTAACACTTTTCCATTCATTATATATTTTTTAAATCTTCCTTTTTAGATTTTTTGTATATATTTTTTTTATTTACAGCTTCTTCTATTGTATTCAATGGACCAAAAGAAACCTTGGTTAATGGAACATTTTTTGACTTTTTAAATTACGCTCTATTTCAAAAAGGTGGTGGAAAAGAGAAGAAATTTGTGTAGATTTTATTCAATTATATGTAAATATATGGAATATTTAGATATATTTTTCAATAAAACAAGTTTTTTCTCTTTCTTTAATCATACCTAGCTATTTTAACTAAACTAAACTGAAAAAGTTCTAAATAGTCTAAATATAGACTATGAATAGATTTAATATCTTTAATATACCTTGATAATGTACAGCATTACTAATGTACATGCATGTACATTAGCAACGCTAATGTACATGCGTCAATAATGACACATATAATGATTGTGACATAAATAAATAATACAGTCATTATTTCTAAAATCAATTGATGGTTCACGTCAATTGATTTTACAAATAATGATTGTATTATCTACATAATCATATTTTGTAATTTTGTATATAATCATATTTTGTAATTGTATTATGTATATAATCAAATTTTGTAATTATTATGTATTTATAAAGTCATATTTTGTAAAATCAATTGATTTTACAAAATATGATTGGTTGTTTTTTATTTAAGCCCATGCATATTCCAAGTTAATAAAGCAATATAAAAGAGCTAGTTTTTTGAATTATTAGAACCATTTAGCAGTTTCTTCAGTTAAAAAACAACGAAGAGATATAACTTCTGTAAGTATTTCCTTTGTAGTTTATAGACGTTTTTTAAAACATATTTTATTCAAAAGATGTTTTGTCTTGTACGTAATTCTCAGAGTCTTTGAAACTTTGTTCTTAACTAACTATTTGGCATTTCCAATTTTAATGTTCATCGAAAACTATTTCGAGCATTTTCATTGAAAAAACTGTTTTTGTTTTAAAATTCTTAATTGTTAACTAGCTAGTTAAATACGGCATGTAGCTATGTGTTTAAATCTATGCAGCTATGGCTGCATAGCTTCAAGTAACTTCAAAAAAAAGAAACTTCAAATGTAAGTAACTTCAAAAGTAAGTAACCTCAACAAACATACTTAAGATTTTATATCTGTATATACATTATTATTTTAGAAAATTTTTTATCACAATGATTGCGCCTGTGGTATTCATTTTATTAATAGTAAGCTCTGCGTGTTTACATAAAAGCCCAAAGGTCATTTCTTTGAATGAGGATTCCGGTTTATCCATCGATACTGTAAAAGACCCAACTGTGAATGAAAAGCGATTGTTTACTTGTGATCACAACTGCTGGTACAATGATTGGAAACACCGTGACCAGAGAGCACGGAACGACAATATGTTTAATCGCCGTTGCTCGTATTCGTATTGGTTTGGTAGATGCTACTGCTATGGTTCTCCTCGCTGCTAATTTTTCAACGTTGTTCAAAATTTTTATTATCACATTATTTTATACAAGTGATTTTTAACTATACTCTTGTTAACTAAAAAAACAAAATTCTTTAAAGTATTTTTTATAAACATTTAGATGTATAATTATATAGATACATCTATTATATTTGAAAATTATTTTAAATTTTATCGCTAAGCAAGGTATTTTGCCAACATGCGGACAAAAACCAACTGTCAACTGCTGACAAAAAACGCTATTTGCCTACAGCATTATATTTGCAAGTAAAAAGAATAAATAAAAGAGCTAATAATAATTTCCGAAAAGAAAAGGAAATAAAAAATAATTGTATTTGTTTTTTATTATTATATTCTTTTTAACGTGTAGTTTGTTTTCTGTTAATGCGTTGATTTGAATATTTTATAAAACAATTATAAATTAATTAAAATGTCACAATGATACTATAAAAATTTGCGCATTTGTTGCTATCAGTAATCAAAATGCTAGAACTCCTATAAGAAATCTAATAACTGCTATAGGTTTACACTTCGCACAATTTTACTTTTATTTTTATCTCTTGCTATAATTAATACTAAAGTACGCAGATAATAAAGACGTTTTCAGAATGAGTTTGTTTTTTAAATTTGGATAACTGGTTTCCAAGTTATGACACCAAATTTTGACGATAAGTTTATTTTTCAAAGGCCATCAATGAGAAAGAATTTCATTGAAGTTCTTATGCTGAATCTTTTTTTTTTTTTTTTAACTAAAGAATCGAAGCATTCAATTCTACAAATTATTATTCTCATATAAGGGGCCTCAAGGTAAAGATCCCACTGCTCGTTTGCGCCATTTGAGGCAGTCAGATCAAAAGCTATAAAAACTTTGTTAAATCCGTAAAAATTAACTTTAGATAAAGAAAAAGAGCTTTTTTAAATAGTCAGAGTGAACAAGTTCATTTAAATTTATAAATATCAAGAAAATATGTAAAAATCTTAGATCTTATTCCCCCATTTTCGGCAATTGGGACAATAACAATTAAAGCTCTGTAAAACCAATAAAAATAATTTTAGTTAATAAAAAAAAGGCTTTTCCAAACTGTCAGAATAAATAAATTTATTTATATTTATAAATATTAGATAAACATGTAAAAATATACAGGCTTGTTTTCCCATTTTTAGGAATTTGGCCAAGAGTACAAAAAGCTCTGTTGAAACCGTAAAAATTGACTTACGTTAAAAAAAAGAGATTTTTCTAACTGTCAGAGTGAACAACTTTGTGATTGTAAACGCGAAGTGTTTGTTTGTTGTTAAACTATAAGCGAACAAATTTGCGATTGTGATTGCGAAGTGAACAATTCATTTACATTTATTTTATTTAATTATTCATTTACCGGTAAAATTTACCGGTAAATTTTAAATAGGAATGGGTAAATTTTCCGTAAAAATTTTTTTGTCAAAGATAAATTTTTTATTTTTTTTAAAGAGAAAACTAACATCTATGAAACTATTATGTCTTATCAAAGAATTCATCCACATAGAAATATGTATTTTTTAAGTTGGTTTCCCGTTTCCAACCTAACCAATAAAACTAACAAGCTTCAACCACATACCCAGTAAGCACAGATCGTTTTAAAAACGTTTAAAAAACGTTAAAAACTGTTTTTATTGGTTTTTTAAACGTTTTAAAAACGTTCTGTGCTTACTGGGTAAATGTTTTCTAAATAATTTTGCGGTCGTAAATAATGTATAGAGCCTGTGTTTTTGTTGTTTTTATATTTACCTCTCCAAGGCTGATGGTGCTATCACATTCCAGGGCCGACAACACTGGGAGGAGGGAGCCAGGGGGGAAATTCTAGTTATAGAAGATTTTTTTTAAGAATTGACGATTGTGACTCCCCCCCCCCCTACCGATTCAAAACTTGTGTCATTGGCCCTGCATTTAAGCAGACTACTCATTTTTTTTTATTTGTTTTTAATTTAGTTTTTATACAATCCTCTCTCAACTCTTTAACTCTAAACACAAGCCCAATAAAGCTGAATTGAACATGGTGGTCATTGTACTCAGAAATAATTTCTGATGATGCGAGCACTCTACCACTACACCACTAGCGCATTTAATTAAGCAGCCATTTTTGACCGTACTTTCACATCAATACATACACTGAAAAAATTCTTAAATATTATTTTAAAATTAGTAGTTCCTTATGAAAAAATATGTAGATTCAGAAGATAGCATTTTATATCGAGGTTCTAAAGTATGGAATACCTTTCAAAAAGGATGGTAAATTCGTTAAGTTCATTCAAGTTTATAACAAAAAAAGAAATTTTTAAAATTTGAGAAACTTCTTTGGTTAATGTTACCACTCTACTTTTTGTTGTTGTTGTTGTTTAATAATATTATTTAATTAAAACTTTATTACGTATATATTTTACAAAATGTTTTATGAAATTTTATTACGTAATACGATATTTTATTGAAATTTTGTTAAAGGGGCTCTATGAAAAAGATTGCGATGACGTACTGTTATCATCATCTTCTTTGAGCCCCTATCTGTTTTTACTTACTTTTTTTTTTTTTTTATGAAGCACGAAGTTGTAAAATTCTTATGTTATAAAACAGGAAAAAAATAAAAAATAACATAGCGACTTTCAAAAATAAAATTTCATTTATCTCAAAAAAGGAAATGTGTGACATGTGCCTTTTTTCCCCTGTTGTCTTCATATATCATTCACTGATAAGAATAAATATTTTCAGTGAATTAAACTTTAAAAATCGTCTATCTATAAAAAATCTTGTAAATTTAAATTTGAACTTTTATATAGAACTTTTATAAGTATATTTGATCCTATCAAAATTATGATGTAACAGCTGTTAAAAAATACGCATTTCACCGCGAGCCACACTAGAATTAAATTGCTTAACTCATGTTCTGTAAAAAATTCCCACTTACTCAGTTTATTGAATTTTAACTAAAATTACCCCCCTCCACCCTAACCCTACCATCCCCACTCTGTCAGCCCTAGTATAGCACACAAGAGTATATGAGAAAAAAATATTAATAAGTTTTAGAAAATACACATTTCATTCAAAAATCAACTTCTTCTTGTTCATTATATTCTTCGTCGCTATTGCTTTCTTCAAAACCTTCTGTGGCTTCTGAATCAGAGCTATCCCAAGAAGATACCAAAGATACTGTGTCAGTTCTTTGGATCTTATGAGGTGGTTGTGAATCTAAAGAAACTTGTTCTTGTGTATAATTAAATATTTATAATATTTTCATTAAAGGTGAAGAATGAATATTTTATATTGAAATGGCTACATAATAAATGATGCTCTGTTACATCAGAATTAAAATTATATATAGAAAAACAATAACTCAAACAAAAATACATTTTACATCTATGGTAATCAATTACTTTATGTTACCTTTTAATGATATAATTGAAGAAGAGTTCATATCTATAGGACCATCGGATAACTGGAGCGCTGTATGAGCCTGCTTCTTTTTCTTTTTCACAGATTGTTGTACTTTAATATTATAAGCAACTTTTGTTACTGTTGCACTTAGAGCATCTGACAGCCTGTTACGTTTTTTTGTTTTTTGCAGTGCATATTCTTTATTGCTGCGCTCAACTGCAGCTGATATTCTGTAAAGGTTTTTCTTTACAGAATGCAGACCACCAATGTAATGGGTCAATGGTAATGTCAACTGCTTCCCAAATCAATTTATTGCCGTAAACCTCTCCAGATTGGGATTTAAAAGCCATAAAATCTTACATAATCTCCCCACTTAATAACTGAAATTTTAGTCCTACTTTGACGATTGTTGAAAGACCCTGTCTTTTTTCTGATTCTATCAAATCATTTTCCATGAATCTAGGATCCAAAAGACTTGCTGCTTTTTGAATATCACGCACACTAATTTTTCTACACCTTTCAACAGCCTCAGTTATCAATTTTATATCATCTTGAGGAATTTCACAGTCACTATTTAATAACACTTCTTTGAAGATGTTGGCACATAGTTCCATAAACAAGGCATTACAGATGCATGAACAAGATCTCCTTCTGCAGATTTAACTGCATTTCAAATTGCTGTCAGTAGTTTTTTATTTTTTTTATTTTTTTATTGACCAAAATGACACAGTGTCATGTAAAGTATTCTTCACAGAATTTAGTTTGGCTTTATCATGTGCACTTAAAGCATAAACTTGAACATCCGAAATTGAAATACGTAAAACATCTTAAAGATCATTATTTCTTTTGATCATAGTAAAAGCAGTTGACCATCTTGTAGGCACGCTTTGTAGGCAAACTAATTTAGACTTTTTCAATGTCATTTGATGTTCTAACATCACATGCTTTAGAACTTGCTTCTTTCTAAAGAAACCAGACACTTTCTTGTGTTGAAGGTGATTAAACTGAACAAATGGAATCTTAAGTATATCTGTAGCCAGAAGCTCCAGTGCATGTGCCCCACACCCATAACAAAAAATTTCTGGGTGTTCATGTTGTACCAACTTCTATGCCTTCGTCATATTTGATGCATGGTCTGATATAAAGGCAATAGGTTTAACATGAATTTCCTTAATTTCAGAGTTAGTGATGTCAAAAATATACTCAGCTGAATGACGATTGCTTTCCGGATGAAATGACTTAAGAAATATCGGTTTTGGTGTGGAGGGAAGGAACTGTATATGATTATCATTGCAAACATATGACCATCCATCAGACATCAAAACACGCCGTAAAGATTTTTTTATCAGAACTGAATTTTCAGTTTCAATCCGTGAATGCCACAGTTTTAAAAAAGGTCCTGTAAGTTTATATCGAGATGTTGGGTTCCAAGCAGGTCTTCGTTGTCTAAAAAACTCCCTCCATAATGGATTATCAACCATTGAAAATGCAGTTGCAGTTCCATATATGGCTTTTGAAAAAGTTATTTCTAAATCCTCGTGGATTTTCTGGTCACAAGTATCTATCCAGCGTTTTATATTATGTAAATTGTGAACTGATGATAAAGAAGAACTTGGGAGAGGTTCTGTAGCAGTTGCATTAATTGATAAAGAACTCTGTACAGATTGACTACTTTCAGAAGGTGTTACAACAGAAAA